CACACACACACACACACACACACACACACACACACACACACACACACACCAATACAAGGAGAGGCAAGAGTTTAAAAACTCTAAATCTTCTCCAGAAGTTCCCTAGCCACTCTGCTAGGGATGATCTCTAATAGTAAACTTAAGCTCTCCAGCTGTCCCCACTGAACTCTCAAGACAGGGAAAGAAAAGCAGGAGACATGTTTTCTTATATTTTTGGTTGTGAGCCTAGCCTTTAACGGCTGAGCCATCTCTCCAGCCCGAGACATGTCTTCTTTCTGCTTCTGCTCCTCTTCAGGCAGACTCTGATTCAATGTCATGACCACCGACAGGCTGGTAGGGAGACCTGGCCATCTCCTTCAACTTCAAAGTGTAGACTTGCTTATTGGGACAGTTTCCATCCTGTGGGGTGGGCTGCTGACCAATGGAATGTTCTGAGGGTCCTTGACTTCCCCCCATCTTGAGGCCCTCTGGTGAGTGAGCGGCCACTGACTCCTCTCAGCCGAGACTAGTCTGATAGCCCCATTCCTCAAGATGAACACTTAAGCAAGAATGATCAAGGCCCCCCCAACCCCCCACCTGCTCCATGTCTGCCGTTGCCACCCTCCTTTTCACATGGCTGACTGGGTGCCTCTGTGAAGGTCAATGACCACACATGACTCAAGGTCTTTCATATTCTGGCTCCTCTAGGATCGAGGGCTTACAATGACGGCTTTGATCTCACTCGGGAAATGAAAGATGTGGAAATGGAGATATTTCTTCTCTTATGACAAAGTTGCGCTTTTCCTGTGGTAATCCAGGATAACCTGCACAGCCCAGGGAAGGGTGAGTCAGGAGAACTTGCTAGAACATGACTGGATTAGAGTTCCCAGCCACCCCTGCTCCCTGCTGGGCCAGCTAGTCTCCTCCTGCAGACACTAGGCAAGCCTCCTGAAAGGGATGACGGTCTAGATTTAACTGGAAGAGGAGAAAGGTTTCCAGCTGTTTATTTTCAGTCAGTTGGGTTTGTCAGAGCCATTGTGTGACCGTCTTGTCTGCTGTGGTGTCCCTGCACTGGTCTCGACCCTAGTGAGAAGCAACCAGGCAGTAAGCGCCTGGGCGGAGGCTAAGCAGCCCACACAGACTGCCTGGAAATCCGCGCACCATGACAGCACCAACACACCAAAGTAGCCTAGACAGAGTGCCTGCCCTTAACAAAGCTTTTCACCAAACAGGAATAACGCAGAAGTAAGGGCACAGCACCCTGGTTAAAATAAGTTTAGTCTGGCTTGGAGAACCTGACTCCAGGGCCAAGGCTGTTGAGGAATTCACAACGTTGTCCCACCAGCACAGCCTTTGGCCACAGTCCTAACTGTCCTAGCAAGCTCTCTCAAGCAGCAGAATGGTTATGAGGAAAAAACAAAAACAA